CGTAAAACATCTATTGGTTCCTAGTGTGAGTATAGTAGTATACCCTTACGAGGCTGTGACTCTCACACCTGTGGTTCTCCTCAGTCCCCATTGGCCTCATGTACCTTCCTGGGCGTGCTTGGCGCCCGCCACCCAGAGAGATCGACCCCTGGATCCTGCTGATTGAAAGGCATTCCACGATACAGACCCCAACTTCGGATCTCAGGGGGGTCACAGTCCCCAGGCCCAAAAAAAGAGGTCAGGTCGGCCTGTTTCAGAAAGGTTACGTCGCGTACCCTGGAGGTCATCGAGTCCAACAGGTACCCGATCGACAGTCACATCCCATAGGCAAGAAGTCACGTCTCGCAGACAACGGTCGTGTCCCACAGGCAAGAGTCACATCTCGCACTCAAAACTCATATTCCACCACACGTGGTTAACCAGGAGGGAGATCCCACTACCGATGTATGTGGAGCAGCGGATAGGGCGTGTGACCCTTCGGCGCCATTAATGTGGAGTAGCGGATAGGGCGTGTGACCCTTCGGCGCCGTTGATGAGAACGGTGATCAGTGGTGTTGTTTTTCTTGGTTTTCGGCGTGGGGAAACATATGACTTTTGGGGGGCTCCCATTGGGTGGCATTTCTTTTGCTTTTGTTGTGGTGCTCCTCTGGGGGTCATGAACATGCGTGAAAATCATACCAACTTTTTTTGGTTGGATTTTCACACACTTTCCACTTACGTTTGCGTCGTTGCCCATGCGTTCAAAAGAGGCCGAAAATGAAGATGTTCCCCTTTTCTCATCATGAAGGGATGTCAGTTGATGTTAGAGTCTTCCACAACTTGTCTGTCATTCCAAGCCTCTCGTTGGGGAACGTTAACAAATGTGTGTTGGCCTCATGTACATGGTCCATGAACCGCCCACATACACAACATACCAGCGGAATCATCAGAAGATCCACAACCTGACAGCTGACCACAGTTCGCGGCGGGTGGACAACATTGCGTTGTCAGAATTGCGGCATTTTGTTTTTTTTCAACATTTACCGCGGAGTAAAGGAAAGGATGCCACACGGATGTCCCCCGCACGTCCCGCAGCCGTCGCACTACTCCTCATACATGCTTAGTGGGATCTCCCTCCAGGGGTGTTATTTTCGACGAATTTTGCACCGAATTGCACTGAAACTGTCATATTGTGCTGATTTTTTGCTTTTTTCCTTTGCTTTTCTTTTTGTGTGATATATATGTGCTTTAGGATACGTCATGTGTGCAGTTTTGACATGTTTGGATCAATCATGAAAAAAGTTAGCATTTTGTTGGATTTGTTGGACGCTTCATTTTGACTCGGACAGTGTCTGTGTTAGGGTTTCATAGTGTTTTTTTTGTTTTTTTTTTTGTTTTTTTTGGCCTGTTTCCTTTTTTGATGTTTGCACTATCGTTTGTTTTTTAAATTTTTGATGAAATTCGCACCGCAATTGCCAACGAAAACGGCGAATATTTGGGCCCCCGTTGACCGTCCCTCCACAGGCAAGGGTCACGACCAACAGGCAACGGTCACGTCCCACAGACACAAAGCAGCAGCACAGCAAGGGAAAGCCAGAAAGGTACNGGTCACGACCAACAGGCAACGGTCACGTCCCACAGACACAAAGCAGCAGCACAGCAAGGGAAAGCCAGAAAGGTACCGGGTCTCGACATTCGGAAACAAACAGGCCGCGGGCAGCCGGTACCGGGTCAAGTCAAGCCAAGAGAAGCTGAGGCTGGGACGAGTCAAGGCTCAGTCCAACTTGAAGTCAATATAAGGACTGGCCAGCCACATCTTGGACAGATTGCTCCTTCGCAAGAAGTGTGGAAGTGCTGCTGAAGCACTCGTGCGCTATCTGCGAGTAGTTAGCGCCAGAGCCCTGGCAGGGCAGCGCTGTGCTGAGGAAGGAAGGCGGCCATAGCCGCACAGCTTAGTAGTAGGAGGTAGAGCTGAGTAGTAGCGGATGTATCCAGAGTCGAGATCTTCAAGTACAGAGAGAGAGAGAGAGAGAGAGAGAGAGAGAGGGTCGCCTACATGGTTGACGATGCTGGACATGGGTTGCTGAACTCAGCGCTGTTGAGTGCTTGGGGACTGGAACCCCGAACCGTACAATATGATAAATTCGTTGGACTTTCTAACCTGGCTGCACTTCTGTCAATGTGTGCATGTGCATGAGGTGACGAACAGTGAGGTTCAATACATGATGTTCGTAGGGGAGGGGACCGGAGGGGAGGCACAGGGATTGGTCCCTTGGCATGGTCCCTGATGCTACCGGCTGTCCCCTGGCCGGTGTCGCCCACCTGCATTAGTCGCTCACCCAGGCCCCACAGTTCCCTTCTTTTGAGGCATTGTGAACTCGGGCTGGCTGCTACGGGTTTCTCCGTAGGACTGTAATTAGAGTAGTGGTCGGTAGGTAGTGTACGGTGGAATTCAGAGAAAAAAAAAAAAAAAAAAAAAAAGCAGGCTCGGTGACTCGGCGAGGTGTCTCCTGCTACAGGGGCTGGAGGAATCACACCACACTTGCAGAAAGAGTCTGTCAGAGCCAGTATACGTACTATAGCCTCTTTTGGCCCTCTTATAAAGGAGTTGAAGGCTGTGTTGTGTCATGACAGTGGGACACGGGAACAGCCTCCCACAACCATGTAATATCTCAATGTTCAGGGAAGGGCTGCACTTGGGCACGGGCTAGAGGACGAGAGGAGCTTAGAACCAGGCAGGGTAACGTAGTGGGCCCAATGGGGAAGAATCAACGGCTGCACATTGGAAAAAATTGAAGCTAAGGCCCCGGAGCATGCGCGAGTCGCCCATGTTTTCCATATTGACTTGCCGGGGGAACAGGAACCGGACTGTCGCTCCCCAGAATGGTAGGAGCCAGCACCAAAAGGTTCTGATTTCTTTTTTTTTTTTTTTTTT